AAGATTCAGGAACAACGCAATCTGCAACATTATCTGAATTAGATAATTTTAGCTTAGCTTAGACCGTCCATCATACATTAAACGCGCAAGCGTAAACGTATTATGCACATGCGCAGACGCATATTCGTTGCCGTAAACGTCTTACGCGCATACTTCAACGTTACGCATGCGCAGAAACTTTGTACCTTTGAGGTCCGGATTATAGATCATTCCGGATTATGGGTGTCCGAATTAACGACTTTTGACTGTAGTTACAAATTTCCTTACAGCATAGGAAAAGCTAAATAATATACAGCCCTGAAAGCATGCAATTATTTGGAACGTTAATTATGCTTGACAAATATGCTAAATTTTTAAAAATCAATCTCAGTTTCAAAAATAAAAATACGTAGAAATTCTAATTTGTGAAATGATGTGCTACAACCAGCTTTTTCTTGACAATTATACATGCTGCAATAGGCAACCACCGTTAAATTTCTGCAAGTCGTCCCTACTCCACCGGATGTAATCAAGGTGACAGCCGGGAACGCCTCAGACGAGAGAGAAAACCCATTTGGGTTAGTCTATTTCTTATAAGGTCCATGTTAGTCTATTTGTGACGTCATAATTTTAGTCCCATCCATTTATGGACGTCACTTAGCTCCGCCCATGGACCTTATAAGAAATAGACCAACCCAAATGGCTTTTCTCCCTCTTCTGACACATTCCCGGCTGTCACCTGGATCACATCTGGAGGAGTAGGGACGACTTTATGAAACTTACAATGGTTGGCAGTGTGTATAATTGTCAAGAAAAAGTTGGTTGTAGCGCCTTATTTCACAAATTAGAATTTCTACATAATTTTTTTTTGAAACTCAGATCGATTTAAAAAATTTAGCATATTTATTAAGCATAATTAACGTTCCAAATAAGTATAAAGCTGTTGCATGTTTTCAGGGCTGGATATTTTTTTTTTTAGCTTTTTCTATGCTATAAAATATTTGTAACTACTTCTTTTAGAAAATAATATTTTAAATCTGAACTAATAGAAAATTTCAAATAAGCAATTTACTCTTGCAACTTTTATGCTTTTTATTGGTATAAATAAGTAAAAAATACTAGAATATTTTAAAAAGAATTTTTAAAAGTTTAGTTTAAAATTCTAAATTGTGCTGCTTTTTTAAAATTATAGATGAGTATGTAGCACAATTTCTATAAATGAATTTTTATTTCAATAATATTTCATAATACATCATAGTGATAAACATTTTTGACTCCTACAAAATTTTATACATTTAATTCTAATATTAAAATTGTATTTAACCGTAGTAATTAATTTTGCTTGTATTTTCTAGTGATTATTTTTTAAAATTTGTTTTTAGTTCTGCATAAGATTTTTTTATTTACTGTTAATTTAATTTAGTAGCATAAAGGGGCGGTAACCTAGAAAGGCTGTCAGTTTCAAAGCGGCAATTTGCGCTGTTTCACTATAAATGTCCGTGTCTCCTTTGGAATTCATGTTACCATATATTATCGCCCTGTATTATATGTACAAAATTTAAATAATGAAGAATCTGCATGACTACATGTATGTTTTTCGCACTGTCACAAAAACGACAGCAAATTTTGAATAATGTTATCCTCCACCGAACATGGGCATCTGGACAGCCGAATTTCGAAATTGTTTTAATCTATTTCATATTTTGTAAAACTTTAACGAATTTTTGATTAACAAACACAACGAGTTCAAAGCGAGCAAAGGTAACGCTGTACGGAAAATAACATTTTTATCTCCAACGCGGAAATTCTAAAGTTATGCTGTTTTCAAATATTTTGTGATATTGCTGTTGAATTGAATTTTATGTGGTTTACGGGCGAAGAACATGATATTCAATAAATATAGGTAATACACAAAACGTTAACAAAAAAGGTTCTTTTTGCGCGTAATATAAAATATGAGTGCTTCTAAATTTTATTTTACCTTTTTTTTTCCTCATTACACTCAGAAACTTTTATGCCTTAAATTTTATAAATTACTAAAATAAATATTCCACTTTATTAAGTTAATGATGATATAATCAAATAAATTATTGTTTTGTAATGTTATTATAGTTTTGAAAATCACTGCCTGAAAACGGTCATTTAATTTAAAAAAAATTATCTGATCTTGTTTAATTTTACCTTATTTATTTCAAAGCATAACGTACTATCAATCTTATTTAATTTTACGTTATTTGTACGTAAAATTAAGTTAACAAATTTTGTGCTTAGAGTTTTTACCGTTTTACCAAAGTAAAGATGTTTGTACAAGAATTACGCGTGAAAAATGTGCACGAAATGCAGTAAAAAGTGCTTTAATGAGATATATTAAATCCTATTTGGAAAAAAACTGTGGCTTTTATAATCTCATCACTATACAACGTATCACATTTAATAATTCAAAAGAGTTATGTGATACAAACACCATAAGTGTTAAAGAAAGCCAGATCTTCCCTACTCTTTCTTGCCGACATGTTGGTGACGCGCGCCCCGCCCACTGGGTTCGTCTATCTCTTATAGGCCGATGCTATTCGCACCACCGGTGCGATTAGCCGTTTTGCTATTTGCACCAACATTAACCACGCATGCGCATTGACTTGTCAGATCCGTCAATTGAACCCCGGATTGTACGCGAACTGTTGCAGTGAAGCTTTTTTTTTTTTTTTTTTTTTTAAGTGGGTTTCTACCTTGGCGTAGTTTATCAATTTTTAAGCGTTGGCGACTTTCAAAAGTTTAGAAAGGAAAATGGGTTCCTTTTCTTATAAAAAGAATGAACACCTTTCCTTTTATTAATGTATGTATTAAAAAGAGTAGATTTTTATGTTCGCAATGTTTATCCTTTTCCTGAACGGTTTGAATAGTTTAAATGTCTGATTTGGGGGGGGGTGACAAAATCTTGTTTACATTTTTTTGTACTTTTTAGAATACATTTAGCTTTAAGATGGTTTTGCACAATCAAGACTTTAATTCATTCCTTTGAAAATTTCGTCCGATAAAAGATGCTAAAAATTAGACAAGGATATCTGAGTAGAAAATTTAGACATGAAATAAGTTAAAAGTGATTATATCAACTATTAAATGAATTATTCTGTACGCCTGCTTATTTTTTTATGGAAATACTTGGCATTTTTAGGACACAAAAAGTGCTTCAAAGAACTTTGAAATATTAGTACAAACATATTAATCAATTAAATTGAAATAAATAATGGGATGTAATTTAAAAGACAGAAATAGTTTAGTGTAAGAGATTTAGATTTAAAAATTTGCACACACAAATGATTTATCAGATTTCACAAGGTTTTATTTCATAAATAACTTTGATTTTGAAATATGGCATTTGAACCTATAAACCTGTGTGGATACTGAAAAAGTGATAAATATATAAGAATATTATCATTTTCAGTAAGTTTTCTTATTGATCAATAAATTCTGACAGTACTATGCTATAAAAATAGGGTCTAAGTTTGCATAAAAATTCCTGTTAAATAAAAGAATTTAGGTAATTTCCGTAGCCTTTTTGTCAATACACTAAAGATTTTTTGACTAATTACTCGTCCTAGCTTGCAATTAGAACCATCATTAAATCCCTATTTTATCTAATAATTTCGTGAACATTATCATGTATATAGATTGATCTCGTCTTTGTAACTGATAATTATTACTTGCAAATTATTCTCTTGCTGGTGAACTATTAACAACATTCGCTCTCACGGAAATTGCCTTACGGAAATCGGCGTAAAATGACAAGCGCCTGGCCCCAGCCACCACCCCAAGCTCTTATTGGACACGACTTCTGATGTCATACAGTGACGAAAAGAATTCTCTGCAGCATTTTGTGCGTCAAAAGCTTGAGCTCGAGATCATTTTAGCGCTGATACAGGCGAAGCAATGGAATAATTTGCCATATTTGCGAAAAAATTACAAAAATAAAAAGCAGCTTCAGATATATATTGTTAATGTACATAATATTAGAAAAAAAGTGCAATTCGATGTGCAGTCGATAACTGTTTAGCAGTATTTTGGTCATTAGACGAATATCGAAGTCATTTGACAATAAACACTTTTTATAAGATATAAAAGTTAAGAAACAAAACAATAATGCATAAAAAAACAGAATGATAACTCCAACTGATAAAGTCAAATAAACGATATTATAAGTATTTTTCGATTTAAAAGTATCTTATCACTTTATCTTATTTTTAACCATAAATGAGGAGAAATTAATGCCTAGGATTTGAAAGTAAAAAATTAATCTGACTAACGAACAATTTTGATACCAAACAATCTCTATATAACAAGCAATAAATGAAAGAAAGGTTATTTAATTATCAAACAGTTCATTTTTATAAAGAAAGAACTAAATTTTACATTTATATCACTTTTAAAAACACTTTTCTGTAAAATAAACCGCTAATTCATGAAAACTGCGGCAGACATTATTTACACAGTAAGAGTTAAGTGCTATTTCTTGACATTGCTGACGAAGCAAATATTGTTAATGGTTTCCTTTTATATGAAATTATAAAATACATTTCTTAAATATCAATATAGCGCTATGAATTGCATTGAATGCAGATTGCTTAGCCAAACACTATTTATGCATTATAAAGTTTTATCTATTCCATTAACATGATTAAACAATTTATATAAAAAGTGCCGATATATTTTCTTATACTGTTAGGTTCGTTTTAATTGCAAATATTCTGTTACATTGCACAAATTCACATTAACACAGGAGAGAACCAAATCCAAAGTAGTTATAAGTTCCCCTTGACATAACTCAAACGAAACAGATAATGGAATCTTTTCAGCCTGACGTCATAAACGGCAACCAATAAGAACAGGGGTGGTGGCTGAGGCCAGGCGCTTGTCGTAAAATGCTGGTTGGGCTGATTTTGCGCATGCGCGAAAGTAGGTGGTGTGAATAGCCTGTTAGCTATTCGCACCGTCGGTGCAATTAGCCACTGCGTCTCTTATAAGGTCCATGTCTTAAACTTGTTGTCCTTCATTAGCGCTATCTGGTGGCTACTCGAGCAAACGAAGCACATAGCAATTTTCTAATATATCATATTTGTTGATTCGGTATTTGCATACGGTGTTTTGTGTGTATGTACATGTTCTTATTTCTGTTGTTATGGGAGAATGAATGCATATAAGAGCCGTAAATTATTATATGAATGTAATTTACGTTAGCTAATGTTACTGCAGCTGATTGTTACTGATTTGTTCAAAAATTACTTCTGTTATCCGAAACTTTTTTTTAACCGTCCTGCCTTACTTTTGTGTAGCATAAAATATGGAGGTATGTGAAACAATTTCATTTTATCATAATTAATTTATTCATTTTTATTAATTAAGCAACTTGAGATAGCAGAACGCGTGCAATAAATGAAAATAGGAGGTCTTTTCTGGAGATGGTTCCCTTATTGGAAATACTTGTTTATGATATTCTTTACTTATTCTGGTTCATCGCCAGAAGATATTTCTCTGTACGTATATTTTTTAAAAATGTTACGTCGTGCAGTATTTTTTCACATATGTGCAGAGAAAACATACGGTATAATAACAGTAAAAATAAATTACAAATCGAAGAGCTGCATTACTTGCTATACCACATAATCTTTCTCTAGTTCTGCTCCGAGTTGTCAAAAAGTTGACCATTTTTTTAATAACACAATTTTGTGTTAAATTGCTTAAAAGTTTCCATTAAATTTTAACTATACATTGGTAGAACAAAATGTGTTCTATGAATTTGATAGTAACGTCTTCCCATAGCTACATTATGCTTCTCTGGTGTGGTGGCTGGCATATACTAAACACTGTTGGCTGTGTATCATGAGGTTGGCGACTAAAGATAATATGAGAGAGGAGAATGAAATTAACGAACTACCACTTTTGGAAAATAAATTACTTGATCTTATTACCTGAGTCCTTTAATTTTTCAAAAACGAGAATGTGCATAAAGACTTTAAGATTGATTATGGTAAGGACCTCAATAAACTAAATGAATGAAATTTCTAGCATAATGCCTGATCTTGTAAGGTTTTGTGCCAGGAACTACAATCAGCCAACCAACCATCTACCATAATGCCTAATCAAATCATGCTGCAGATTTTACTGAAATCTTAAACTACGAAATTACTACAGAAGATTACTTTTTCAGATCTTACGCAGCATATATATTAGACATGTTAGATCTATATACAGAACTGTTTGTTTACATAGTCATCTCTCCTGCACAGCCTCTAAATGTTAGGATATTTCCTTCTTCATTTTAGGTATCTTCAATCTTATCGTGGATTTTGCATGTTAACAGTGGCACAGTGGATAGTGTTCAGTATTATAGACCCTCAGATCAATGGTTGGTAAAAGTATAGTTTAGGATACCCCTTGGCAATTTTGGGCGGTACATCGATACAAATTTTGTGCAATTCTTCGACTCGTTATTTTGGCTTGCAAAGCGGCGATTTTTGGCTGAAAAATCGCCGCTGCACAAAGCCAAAATAACAAGACAAACAATTGCACAAACTCGGTATCCATGTACACATCGAATTATTTTCACTTAAAAAAAATCCCCAAATTGCACAAAAATGGCATTGCGCACTCCTTTGACTTTATCCATGTACACGTTGACCTATTTTTACTTTAAAAAAAAATCCCAGAATTGCACAAACTTGCATTGTACAACTCCCTTTACTTTGTCCATGTACACATCAATATATTTTCACTTAAAAAGTCAAAGGAGCACCAAATTCTGCAATATAGGCAAACAAAAAATACATAATCTCAATAAAATACATTTTAAAGCAAACAATAAAATAACATAAAAAAGGAGAAACATGGGCTGATCTTTAGAATATGGTAACTGGTAGTTTGGCGACATTTTGGAGGCGATAAAGGTTACTACCTGGGACTTTGGTAATAATGTGAGCAGTACTCAGTTCCGATTACGCATTATTTTGTGTGAGGGAAATGAGAGATCATGGGATATGTCATGTGATATTAATGGACGAATTACGGTTCTTTAATCGGAAAAGGGGGGAAATCGGGAAAAAAATCTGGAAATTTTGTATTTGGCTTTATTCTGTGTTGTGTGAAACAGTGTTCGTTAATTTTTGGATCAAATGGCCCTAACTAAAGTGAATTCGAAATGGGTATTTAGTGGGATTGAAAGGGGTAGTAATAAGTGTTTCTTTAAGGTTGTGTGAGATAGAAGTAAAGATGGTTTATTAAGTTATTTATTTTACCTGGTACATTGCTGTGAACTAGAAGTATGATTTTAAAGATCCTGAAACAGAAATAAGAAAAGTTTATCGGACACGTAATCAAGATTCTGAAGAAGAATAGGTAAGTTAGTATTTTTAATTATTTGAGGATATTATTTTTATGCCATTGTTCTAATGTAAGGTGGAAGTTAAAGTAATTTGCGTAAACGTGCATGGAAATAATTTAAATATTTGACACTAAGTATTGTAACCATTTGTAATGTTTGTGGTATGAATTAGTTAGTGACGTATGTAATATAATAGATAATGTAGAGGTAAAAGTTTTTGAATATTTTATTTATTTTATACGGGGAAATGTTCATATTTGGAAAGGGTATATACATTTTCGTGATCAGGTAATTTCATATATGTTCTTTTTATCGGGTTTAAAGATTCAGAAAATTGTTATGCGTTTTCGTGAAATTTTTCTAATTTATGAGAAAAAAGCAGTGTACATGGATATAGTGAAGAGTGTGCGCAATGCCATTTTTGTGCAATTCTGGGATTTTTTTTTTAAGTAAAATAAGTCGACATGTACATGGTTTAGTGATATTTTAATTAATGATAGTTTTTTTGTGAATTTTATGTTTGTAGGAATTTGGTATACGTTTAAGTTGAAGTAAACGTGCATGGAATAATTTAATATTTGACACTAAGTATTTGTAATGCTTGCGGTATGAAATTCGTTGGTGACGTGTATAATATAATAGATGATTTAGAGGCAAAAGTTTTTGGATATTTTATTTATTTTTATGTGGAAATGTTCATATTTGGGAAAGGGTATATACTTTTTCGCGATCAGGTAATTTCATATACGTTCTTTTTACGGGTTTAAAGATTCAGAAAATTGTCATGTTTTTCGTGAAATTTTTCTAATTTATGAGAAAAAAAGCAGTGTACATGGATTGAGTGAAGAGTGTGCGCAATGCCATTTTTGTGTAATTCTGGGATGTTTTTTTTTAAGTAAAAATAATTGCTGCGTGTACATTGTTTATGTGTATGTGTTATTTTTAAAACGCGTAAGGGTATGGTATTGTGCCATTTTTTCCCAATTTTGCAGTGAATATTGTCATGATTAAGCAGTTTTTGTTAGATAAAATTTTCTAGCATAAGTGTAATTCGGCTAGTAGATGTTGGAAGAAGTGTTCAGTAGATAAAAAGAAAAGAAATGTCTTTACTTCGTGAAGACAAAATGGCGGCGGGAAAAAAAATATAGGGGTTGCTGTAAAAGAGTTGGTCGCCAAAAAAACGCCAAGTTACCATAATGTAAAGATCAACCGAAACATGTTATACATTTAAGCACTACCAAAAGCAAATATTCACTTACCATGATTTTCTTGTTCGCTTCGTACACCAAGAGCCACGTAAAAATCTAAATCATACTCAAATGACTTTTTTCGGTACTTGCGTATTATCGCAACCAGGTTGGCGCTATTTGTAACTTTGAGTAAAAAAGTATGAATAGAAAGAAAATGTACATTTATTAATTACAGATAATTTTTAATGCAGTTTTTTATATTATTTTGTTTTAAATTATAAAATAGCAATTAAACCCTTCCGGTTTCGAATTTGAATAATTTGAACCCTACTAACGGCTTTAGACCCTACTTACGGCAACCGTACGTGTTATACGTAATTTTGTAAAAAGAGCATGTGGAGATTCACAAAATTTTCCTGCATTTTCATGCAAATTTTTGTAATTTATGAGAAAATAGCAGTGTACATGGATAAAGTCAAGAGTGTGCGCAATGCCATTTTTGTGCAATTCTGGGATGTTTTTTTAAGTAAAAATAAGTCGACATGTACATGGTTATGGCGAATACAGTTTTCAATCAGTGCTAAAAGCAATAGCCAAAAGATTTCTGCCGAAAAATTAATTCTGCAACTTATTCAAATTCGAAACCGGAAGGGTTTAATAAGTTGCAGAATTATTTTTTCGGCGGAAATCTTTTGGCTGTTGCTTTTAGCACTGATTGAAAACCGTATTCGCCATAACCATGTACAAGTCGACTTATTTTTACTTAAAAAAACATCCCAGAATTGCACAAAAATGGCATTGCGCACAATCTTGACTTTACCCATGTACACTGCTTTTTTCTCATAAATTACAAAAATTTGCACGAAAATGCAGGAAAATTTTGTGAATCTCCACATGCTCTTTTTACAAAACTACGTATAACATGTAGGGTTGCCGTAAGTAGGGTCGCCAAATTTATCAATTTATGCGAATTTTGGCCTGGTTGCATTAATACGTAAGTACCCTCTTTTCAAACCAGGTACTCTTTCTGATCGAACGCTTCACATAGTGACCATCTGAACCTTTCTTCCTACAAGCCTTTCAAATCCATCTAAACGTTTTACGTTCGACTAGACCATATCCTTCCTACATACAGGACACTTATATGGCTACTAAGTAAACCTTCATTTACACACCAGTCAATTAAAGCTCTTTTCCCCTTTCGCTCCAAATCGTACATAAACTTCAAATTAATCTTACTACATTCGGCCATTCTACCGTCTAAAGAATCAAACCAACACACACCACAAAAACGCTTACAAAACATCCCATGATTCAAAATTTCCCAGAATCATGCACCCGATTACGTCACAATAGCGTTTCCATAACATTCAACTACTCAAGCTACCATAAATGAAACAACAACTTTGCCATAATACAAGGGGTACCTTAAAGTCTACTCTACCCCAATGGTTCGAGTCTAGCTGGTAATATTTTTCATCCATCGCTCATAAAAGTTCATTTTTGCATCATTTATCAATAATTATATTATTTCCTCCATTTATGTCCCTACAGTTAATTTTTAAAAACTCGAAATCTGTGAGGTTCTGACTCAAAATATGAGCTTCACTCAACCTACTGATTCAGGTTTTGGAAATTTTCTCTCATGTCCTAGGGATCTGAGATTTATCACTGATCCAGTGGAGTAGCGAGCATAACTGCCCCCCCCCCCCCCCGGAAAAACACAATGATATTATGAAAATTTGTTTGAAGACCATTTGACGCCCCTCTGCGAGTGGCGCCCGGGGCATCATACGCCCCCCTCGCCCCCTCTCGCTACGCCACTGCACTGATCATGTATGTAAATGTGTTTCAAATAACCTTATTTTATTTTTTCAACTTGATTTGGTTTTTACTGTTGTGTAATAGTCTTTAATTTGTTCTTCACCTTTAAGTGGCTAGTGCAAATTCATATATTGCCAACTGTAATTGAAACAGGATATCTAAAATATTAGGTACATTAAATAATAACGAATAAATGAAATAAATTAAAAAAGAACTTTTATGATAGTAGTAGATATGAGATGAAATATCAAACAAAAATACACTAAGAAACTACTGTAAAGTAAGGATAAGTTAATAGATTGTGATACTCTTCTGTTATCTGATTCAGAAGTATATGTATGTATGTATTTTCCATCTTTCGAAATTTTTTTCCATATTTTGAATCTACGACTCAAATTATGCCTAAATATTAAATTTAAAAAAATTTTGGCATGAAAGTAGAGAAATTAAAAAATTTAGCTTACCGTATTTTTTTCCAGTTTGCCAAGAATAATTTACTTGCCGAACTTTTTAATTTATAGCAACCTAATTTTCCTTTCCTTTTTTTCATTGTACACAAATGGCAAAAAAGTCATTGTTTGTTATTTCAAATAACTTTAACAAGTGTGTTTATCGTTTGGCTTTATTATCGCTTAAAAATATATTATATATATAGTGTATGCCAAATTTCAAACTCTCCAATATGTAATATTTTGAATAAAAAACTATTTTTTTGCAGAATTCAAGTCTGTAAAGAGTATTTATGCATCTATTTTTATTTTTCAGAAAGAAGAAAAAGCTCTTGAAGTTGTTTCTGATGCTCTTATCAATAGGGCTCAAGATTTAAAAAATACTATTTCTTCCTTTATTATGAAGCTTGAAACTGAGTCATTAAGTTGGTAAGTATTTGATTTATGTAGGGAATTTCATAATGATCGAATTTATCATTTGTGACATTTAACCCTTTCCGGCACGCTACCTTTTAAAGTTTAAAAAAATAGGTAGGAAGTCTAATTAGGCCTATAGGAGTACACAAGTAAAATTTTGTGAAGATAGCACTTATCATTTTAATTCTGTGGGGTGCTCAAAGTGGGCACACTGATTGAATAGAGCTTGGAAAAGAGTGCTGAAACGAGCATTGTTGTCAATGAACTGACCAATGAGATGCGGAGAAACAAAGAATGCAGACTCTCGGTTGTCCTATATTATCGGTGAGCACAGTCTGGGCACACCTAGGGTTCGCCGTTTGATTTTAGGCAAGATTTCAAGGTAAAAATTTATAACTAACATAGAATAAAGCGATTAGCATACAAAAAAAAAAAAAAAAAAAAAAACATATAAATTTCTTTTCAAAAAATTCCTTTTATACCCTAAAAAAAATCTGGAAGATTTCTTTGAAAAATGAGGCTCTTAAAAAACTAAACATGGCTAAAAATATATGGACTGGTTTGTGTTGAGCTGCCATCTACAGTAAATAAAGAACGTTCAGAGTAACCCATAAATACTTTTTTCATTCAATTTTTCTGTGCGTTCAGAAGGAAATTTTTAGGTGTGTCCAGACTGGAAACTCTGTGCTGCAAAGGGTTAATATGTATTTAAAATTACATTTTAAAAATTTATTCATTTTAAGTATGTAGTTTATGATTTCATTTACTATTTCTGTTTCCAAGTTTTACCAGTTATGGACAAACATGACATAACACAACATCCCTAACGTGCACTTTCGCTTGGTGTAATCCTAATTTATTCTTAATAAGCCACCTTTTGCTTTTATGAACAAGGATATAAATTAATTAATATTACTACATATTTTCTTTGAATTTGGGGGGGGGATAGGAACTGCCTTCTATAACAGCAAGCAGTGGACTACTATTCAAAAGTATGGGATTCTGCCATGAAAAGAGTATATTAGTCGGCATGATATAGTCAGCCAAATATGGCTGCAAAAACACTTTCATTCTAATAAGTGGAAGGTTATGAACATAAAAGTGAAATTAATGATTAAATAAATCTAATAAATAAATATTGTTTAAATACAGATCTTCAAATGTAGATCCACTGAACTTTGCTGTAACCAGTAAATTAATGCTGGTGTGAGTAAAAACTGCAATTCTGGAATGAATTTTCAAGTTCAGAAGATATCTATATGGAACATAATAAAAAAGTTTTTTTAACGCTATAGTTATTGAATTTTTAACACTGTAGTTATTGAATTGAAGTATGGGAAGAATTTAACTCAAATTCTTCCCATACTCGGGCAAGCATGTCCGTTGTCACTGATGTTATGACAGTACGGATCTGGTTCTTCACCTCTTCCAGGTTCTGTAGAAGTGGTGGTACATAAACGTTGTCTGTAATGAAACCCCACAGGAAGAAGTCACAGAGTGTCAAATTCGATAACACAGAATTTTGCAGCAGAGTAGCCATTTTAAACATGTGATGGTTACGATGCGAAACAGAAGACAACTGACATCTAGCGGATATTAATATAGACTATGTATTCGTTTCTCCAATAGCCGAGGCACAGTGATCGATAGTTTGGACAAAACAACACTTACATATATTCTAATACATATATTCGTTTTGAAACACGGTGTGTAATAAATAATAATTCTTCAGGTTTGTGTAATATTATTAGTAGTAGGTGTAAAATCAACAGTGTTTCTAGCGGATTGGGCTCTTTTTTCCTTTTGTGCAAAGCTTACAAGAAGAAAATATTTGAACCTGGAATAAACCTGGAAAAACTGTTAATGTAGACCTTTATTCTGAACAATTGGATCTAGTGAACCAATCTTTAATTGGAAAATATCCGGCGATTGTCAACGGAAAAGGCGTCATTCTGCAACACGACTGTGCAAGACGAACACTGGAAAAACATAATGAATTGGGGTGGGAGGTACTGCCTCACCCACCATATTCGCCCGATATCGCACCCTCGGATTTCCATTTATTCCAATCCCTACAACATTTTCTTAGTAACAAAAAATTTCAAAATTTTGATGATGTCCAAAATGCCATCTTGAGATAATTTACTTAAAACCAATTGATTTTTATCGGTCTGGAATTGAAATCAACATACTAGAGGGCAAAAGGTTGCTGATAACGAGGGTGATTATATTATTGGTTAAAAATAAAAACTTGTTACTAATTTATTCGTTTGAATTTAATGTAAGAAAGCGACATTACTTTCCGTTCCCTCTATTATTTGGGTACAATTGTAAATAATAATAGTAACTACTGAAATCAAGAACTAAATCAACATGGCTAACAGATATTATTATGGATTATGAAACCAGTTTAAATCAAAATACCTGATCTGTAAAACTAAAATACAGTTGTACATGACCTTGTTAAGACCTATAGAAGTGAGTGAGTTATGGAAGTGAGTGTTGGACAATGAATAAACCAGCTGAGACAATTTTTGGAGTAGTAAGGGGAAATGTGGAGAATAAGATTTAATTTTGAACTACATCAAAAATTGAGAGACCCAAATATAATAAAAGTAATTAAAGCTCTTTAACTAAGATGACTAGTCATGTATACAGATATGGAGATGAAAACCCAATGAAGAACTTGACATTCCAAACCCAGAGAGAAAGATTAGAGGGAGGCCACAAATGTGGTGGTTAGACAATATGGAAAAGTGTAGAACATTGGTGTCAATAGCTGTAGGACTGTGGCAGTGGATGGTGCAAGATGGCGGAAGCTGACTGACGCAGTTGACTGGAAATCAGCTGTAGAGTGTAAGAAGAAGAATGTTAATGCAGTACAAAATCCGAGATCATGACTTTGGTCATAAGTTTTTCTGCATATTAGATCATCAATTTAAATCTAGTAAGATGATGTAAAAATTAGAAATATGAAATAGTGATTTATGAAATAATAAAGCATTTATGACCTTAAGGGAATGAAAATTTCCCTCCTTTTTTTGTTTGCTTTATTAAACTTTTCTTTCAGTGTAAGTTTAAAGGTTTTGTTGTTTTGTTTTTTGTCCAAATACTGTCTCTTTAATTCTATAGGTAGACATAATTTTTTACAAAATTCCATTGTTTCTGTAATTGTCACAGCCAGCATTCCCACTAAATCACTTTAAAAGCTTTTTCGTTCTCAGAAACCTCTCTGCCACTTTCTTCACTAACGATATATTCTAGATTTAGAACTATACTATAGATTTTGCAGTCTGTTGGTTAATTACTGGTTGGGGCATTGTCAACAGAATGAAAAAACTATTATTTGAAAAATTTTGCTGTTTGTTTGTGATATCTGAAAACCTTCAAATTTGCACATATCATCATTAAGCTTAACTAGCATCTGCTATACACTTTTGGCAATGTATCATGAGATTCCTGACAGAAGATGTCTTGTTCTTCTAAATTTCATTATGCTTTTATCACACACTGATGAAGTTAAGAATGAATTGTATTAATTTAGCTATGCATTAACTTACAACTATTTCTCACACATGCTTAAGAACTAAGTAAAATTAATTAATTCCAACATATACGTAAGATTTATCCAGGGCTAGGCATTTTGTGGTCTGGTGTAGTCTGCATATACAAAGTTCTGCTGCCAAGTGCCTCCCTAAATTCTAAAATTTTGTACACTCCTAAATTTTGCATCCCAGTGCCTACACTAAATTCTAAAGATTTTGATATCCCTTAATTTAATTGCATGTGCTTTTCTAAATAAGAAAAAATTGCTGCCCAGTGCAGCTGTACCAGCTCTGGCACCAGTCTAGGGCTTGCCTGAAGTTGCTTGAATCAGTTATTCCGAATTCAAACAAAACTAAATGTAATCTTTTGGCCTATGAGTATAATTTACAAAATTCTATTTTTTGCCAATGCAAAGAGATTTCTGTTAAATTTATTGTCGTCAATGCACTGAACATTTAGCTGCAGACCTAGAGTCTGTAATCGTTACCAAGGGTAATGTCAATAAAGAAGATTATCGTACTGTTTGGTATTCAGTTACAGATATTAAAAAAAAGAAATTGAATATTGCCATGAAGGTCATTTCTCAAGCTGCAGTGCTAAAGGTTGATAGTTAAGAATTCTGACTTTCCACATGTTTTATTTTTAAAAATATCAAAATGCAAGGTAAAGGATAAATTAAAAAAAAAAAAAAAAAAAAAAAAAAAAAAAATCTGAAAGCATTTAGATTTTACATTACACCCAAAGGGGCATTTCCTTAAATGTTTTGTGGGTTACCTTTATTTATTAAATACAGTCAAAAGTCATTAATTCGGACACCCATAATCCGGAATGATCTATAATCCGCACCTCAAAGCTAAAAACTTTCTGGACGTGCGCCGCGTTGGCACATGCGCACAGGCGTTTTATGCGTGCGCGTAAGACCTTGACTACTGCGCATTTGCGTGTGCACAAGTGCAGAATACGTTTTCGCCTGCGCGTTTAATGTATACCGGACGGTATAAGCTAAAATTATCTAAATTATCTATTTCAGTTAATTGTTGATGATTGCGTTGTTCCTTAATCTTCGAATTGGATCCGGCTTATTATTTTTTGCAGACTGTAAGAGCAATTTTATAAAAGTAAACTTTGAACTTTCGATTATGTCAAATAGAATTTCCGATGCTGGAGCTCCCAAAGGATCTACAAACGAAAGTATGTTTCGATGTCCGTCAAACAAAAAGTGGAATTGCTGCAAAAAATGGATAAAGACATGAAGAAGGTGACAGAGAGGTTAGTGAAAACGAAAAAATTTCGATTGACAAGTTAGTCGGTATTCTCGGCAACAGCAATTAACGGACTTGAACAGCGGAACTTTGTAACTGAACAAGAAATTATGTCTGTTTATAGAATTAAAGAGAAAGTATTATCACATAAAACGAAGCAACTTAAACAACTTACATTGAAAGAAATGTTTAATAAAGTAAAAAATAAATATTAAGCTTTTTTTTTTTTTTTGTAAATTTTGATACCTTTTAGATCATAATTGTTCTTTATTTCATAAATTACGGTTTCATATTTTTAATTTTAGAATTTCTGCATGCCATTTACAAGATTTAAACTGATGATCTATAATCCGAAAAAATCGATAATCCGAAATCGCCGAAGTCCCGACGAGTCCGGATTAACGACTTTTGACTGTTTCATGTTCTTTGCACTTAATCCATAAAATTCAGTTCGACAACAATATCGCAAAATAGTTTTAAAATGAGCATATCTTTAGAATTTCCAATACACAGTCTCATGCGCTGGAGGTAAAATAATTTTTTCTCCGTTCAATGTTGCAGTTGCTTGCTTTGAAATCTTTGAGTTTGTTAATGAAAGATTTTTTTAAAGTTTTACAAAATATGAAATGGATAATAAAACCTAAATTCTTAATTTAGGGTTAATAATTTAGGTTAATAATGTACGTTTCTACCAGAGGGCTTCCAGATGCCCTCCAGTAGAAACTTACGTTATTCAAAATTTGATTGATGGCTCTAGGTATTGTAATTTTATCACAATGCGAGAAACATATATACGTTTGTGAGGATTCTTCATTATTTAAATATAATACAGGGCTGTAATATTTGTTGGCAACAGTTTGAAAAGTGAATCGACATTTAAAATTTTCCAATGCAAAATGCCAGAACGAAATTATAATAGCCCTTCTGGACTAATGTCCTTTGGGCTGGGGAAAGAAAGAAAGAAAAAAAGGTTGCTAGTGATCTGAGGTTACATATTTTATATCGTTCCGAATATTGGATGTCCGAATTTCAGACTTTGTGCTGTATTACTGAGCATTCTATTTGCAATGTAGGTTTTGTTTAAAAAAATAATATCATGGTAGTTACCTGTCATTCATCCATGATTAAATTTCATTTGTTCTTACTGTAGCTTTGAAAACTGTAATATAATTTTTGTAAAAGAAAATACATCTCTATATTTTCCTGCTTAATCAATATATTTTAAATTTCATTTCAGGCCTCGTGTCTTAGACAATTTTGCCCTGTTATCTGGGCAAGTTAATGCACATATGAATACTTTTCTGCATCATCAATATATTTTAAATTTCATTTCAGGCCTCATGTCTTGGACAATTTTGCCTTGATATCTGGCCAAGTTAATACTCTCTTGAAGATACTCAGGAACGAAAAAACCCCTTTGCTTCGAAACAGAGTACTGTTACCACTTTTATTATCGCCAGACAGAGACGAAGAACTAGTAGTAAGTTTCATTCTATTGGTTCACTTTCAACTTAAGTTGTGAGACTTTGCTGTGTCACTTTGTGAGACTTTGGTGTGGTCACCAAATCTCCCAGTTTTTAATTTTAAACCTTTACTAAGAAAGATGATTCCCATTTGAGTGAAAGCATCAACTGATGAAATTCCATTCTCCCACCTTTGATAATCTTTAGAATAATTTTTTGTATTTAATTTTAGTTCATCTGAATTTTAATTTTTTCATATTATTATTGTATTTTTTCTTATTTCATTAATCTTTGCCTTATTAAGTTTTTTGTTGTTATCCTTAGTTAAATGGTGTTGGCTGTTTCTTTAGTCTTTTCTCCTGTTATTTGTTTTACATCCTCCTGTTATTCGTCTTTTGTAAAATCTTAAGTGTTATCATTAGTATAAAATGAAAATATTTCTAGTACATAGTTATGAAATTCTATTAAAATTAACACTTATTTACTGAGTATAAAACAAAACCAGATTTTCTTATTTTAGAGTAGTGTAATAATTAATATACAGAAATAAGTAAATATAATACAATACAGTCAAAAGTCGTTAATCCAGACTCGTCGGGACTTCGGCGATTCCAGATTATCGATTTTTCCGGATTATAGATCATCAGTTTAAATCTGGTAAGATGGCATGCAGAAATTATACAATTAAAATATGAAAATTGTAATTTATGAAATAAAGAACAATTATGATCTAAAGGGTATCAAAATTTACAAAAAAAAAAAAAAGCTTAATATATTTGTTTACTTTATTAAACATTTCGTTCAATGTAAGTTGTTTAAGTTGCTTCGTTTTATGTGATAATACTTTCTCTTTAATTCATAAACAGACATAATTTCTTCTTCAGTTACAAGTTCCGCTGTAAAGTCCTATAATTGCTGTGTCGAGAATACCGACTTTGTCAATCGAAATTTTTTCGTTTTCAATAACCTCTGTCACTTTCTTCTATTCGGAAGCGAATTATAATGACGAGGAATTTGATTTAAATCATATCAAAGACAGAGTACATTGAAATGAAATACTACATTTAGTAAGGAATTATAAGCCAAATAAAATAAAAACATCTGCTCTGAAGATAAGGATAGTGCTGATAGATCAACTTCCAATTCATTGTGCGCCGCTGCGTTAAAGATAAACAAAATTTAGACAAACAAACATTAAAGTTTAGATAAACAAAGGATATGCCTTTATCCATTTTTTGCAGCAATTCCACTTTTTGTTTAATGGACTTCGAAACGTACTTTCGCTTTGTAGATCCTTTACATATTAGTAAATATATATCAGAAATTCTATTTGATATAATCGAAAGTTCAAGCATACTTTTATAAAATTGCTCTAACAGTCTGCAAAAAATAATAAGCCGAATATAATTCGAAGATTAAGGTACAACGCAATCTGCAACATTAACTGAATTAGATAATTTTAGCTTAGCTTGTACCGTCTGTTATACGTTAAACGTGCATTCGTAAACTTATTTTGCGCACGCGCGTTTTCGCAGCCATAAGCTTTGAGGTCCGGATTATAGATCATTCTGGATTATGGGTGTCCGAATTAACGACTTTTGACTGTATAATAATAAACTTTGAAGAAAAATGTCAGGTCCTATAACAAGTAAATCAGCGTAACTACTAATTGTGGGATGCTTAAATACAGTTGACCTAAAATTCTCCGTTCCTTATATAAGGCAACTGGGTTTTAGTATTGTGTGAAAAAAATCAAGGTTTTTTGTTTACATTTATAGTCCTAAAATTCTTTATAGTACATATAAAAAATGAAAATACAAAAGTTAAAAATTCATGTGAAGCTATTCAGAACTTGGATACTGAAGAATTAGGTCTTAATAATATAGTAAACAGAATTTTACATTACCCTGTAATAGTAATTAAAAAAAAAAGTTTAGGTAAAAAAGAAGCCAGATAGAAAGCAAGAAATGAGATTTTGTAGGTAAGTTATTATAATCAAATTTAGAATTTTCATAATGATATTTGTTTAGGGAAGGACTTTCAAAATAGAAAAAACTTGAATACATGCATTAATTATTGTACATAATCTCAACAAATTTCAGAATTTTATAATGTAACTAATTTTTATTTCATTTAACATCATTCAAAGAAGTTTTATTGAAATTGTGCTATTCTTCATTATTAAGATATTTACTTATTTTGTACAAAACTGGAATACCCCACAGCTTTCTCTAACTACTAACATATTCATCTTGAGGGCAAATCATCTTGAACAAACTGGTGTTTTGCACCAGTGACCTAGGGATGCCACACCTGTTACTTCTAAAATGCCTCTGTTACTTGTTTAAAGGCAACTGTAAAAAAAAAAAAGTGAATGAATTAAAAAAAAAATAGTAATACAGTCAAACGTCGTTAATTCGGACACCCATAATCCGGACCTCAAAGCTACAAACTTTCTGCGCATGCGTCGCGTTCACGAGTTCAGGCGTTTACAAGTGCGCGTAAGACCTTTACGGCTGCAAATATGTTTGTGTGCATGCGCGTTTAATGTGTAACGGACGGTATAAGCTAAGCTAACATTATCTAATTCAGTTAATGTTGCAGATTGCGTTGTTCCTTAATCTTTGAATTGGATCCGGCTTATTATTTTTTGCAGACTGTTAGAGCAATTTTATAAAAGTAAGCTTGAACTTTCGATTATGTTAAATAGAATGTCCGATATATATTTACTAATATGTAATTGTATCTACAAAGCGAAAGTATGTTTCGAAATACGAAATCTGTTTATCAATTTCACACTGCGGATTGGAAGTTGATCTGTCAGCACTATCCTTATCTTCAGGGCAGATGTTTTTATTTTATTTGGCTTATAATTCCTTACGAAGTGCAGTATTTCATTTCAATGTACTCCGTCTTTGATATGATTTAAATCAAGTTCCTCGTCATTATAATTCGCTTCCGATAGTGAAAAAAGTGACCCAGAGGTTATTGAAAACGAAAACATTTTGCTTGACAAATTAGTCGGTATTCTCAACACAGCATTTATAGAACTTGAACAGCGGAACTTTGTAACTAAACAAGAAATTATGTCTGTTTAATAGAATTAAAGAGAAAGTATTATCACATGAAACGAAACAACTTACATTGAAAGAAATGTTTAATAAAGTAAACAAATAAATATTAAGCTTTTTCTTTTTGTAAATTTTGATAGCTTTAGATCATAATTGTTCTTTATTTCATAAATTACGGTTTCATATTTTTAATTTTGTAATTTCTGCATGCCATCTTACCAGATTTAAACTGATGATCTATAATCCGGAAAAATCAATAATCCGGAATCGCCGAAGTCCCGACGAGTCCGGAACGACTTTTGACTGTATTTGAAAAGATTAAGCATTTTTTCATAAGGGGAGAACCTTTGAAGTTTATCTTAACATGTTCTATGTTAACACACAATTATCCATTAATGTTAACATTCATTTATCATATTTTCATGTTACTTATATGCATTAATTTCACGTCTTAATTACATGTAATGAGATTTATTGTAATTATTCAATTTCTAAAATTAATTCTTTAAAATGAATTATAATCATCACAACAATATTCACTATCAAATATTATATATTTTCTATATTATGCTCAAAAGACAAATTTACATCCATTTTTTTACAAGTACAGTCAAAAGTCGTTAGCCCACCAGCGGCCGAGCGGTAAAGTCGCTGAACACTGGTAGTTCGGTCCGAGGTTCGAATCCCGCGAACGGGCTGGCTGCATGGGCGTTTTCGTGGTTTTCCCCATGTGTAACGTGTATACGAGCCAGTTTCCCTTAGAAAGTCCTCCACAAAGGCATCCCTCCTCTTAGGCAGATAGCCCTAGAGGCTTTGCCAAAATCACACACACACACACACACAAAAGTCGTTAATTCGGACACCTATAATCTGGACCTCAAAGCTACAAACTTTCTGCGCATGCGCGTAAGACTTTTACGGCTGCGAATATGCATGTGCGTAATACGTTTACGCTTGCGCATTAAATGTATAACGGACGGTATTAGCTAAGCTAAAATTATCTAATTCAGTTAATGTTGCATATTGCGTTCTTCCTGAATCTTCGAATTGGATCCGACTTATTATTTTTTGCAGACTATTAGAGCAATTTTATAAAAGTAAGCTTGAACTTTCGATTATGTCAATTATAGAATTTTAATTAGAATTAGAATTTCCGAGATGTATTTACTATTATGTAAAGGATCTACAAAGCAAAAGTATGTTTAGAAGTCCATTAAACAAAAAGTGGAATTGCTGCAAAAAATGGATAAAGGCATATCCTTCGTTTCTCAAACCATTCCGAAATCTGTTTATCAATTTCATGCTACTCTGCGGCCCGGGGGGGGGGGGTCTGTCATCAAAATTTTGTTAGTGATTATCTTTTACACAGACACACACATCTCTACATATAATGAAAGAAAGAGTCTGTCTGTGTGTGTCTTTCGTTTGCGCTGCGCGTAAGCTAATAGACCCACGGCTACGAAATTTGGTACATAGGTGCATCTAGACAAGAGCCAGTGCACCTCGAAGCGAATTTTTTCGAAATTCGAATTTGAATTTTTTTTATTTTATGTTTTGTGACGAAATCGCGTCATTTTGAGACATAATGGGTTGTAGGAAAGTGAGATTTTACTCTACGCACTTCATTTTGATATCGTCATGAAACGTAGACATTTAGCTATTTTACGAACTTAAAATAAATTTCGTGTTTCAATAAATCAATTAAATACGAATTTATTTAAAAAAGGGAGCTTGACACCTTTTCAACAGGATTTTTCTAAAAAGTTTATTTTTAAAAATGTACGGTTTATTATTTTTTTTATTTTTGGACACGTTAAACTTTCATCCTTGCAACTGCTGTCACAAAAAGAATTTGGGAAAAATGATAATATTTTGTATTTTTAAAGAATTTTTTTAAATGAAGCTTCCGAGTACACTTCTCACATCTCACATCTGTTAAAATGTGATTTTGGCAACAATTTTCCTGTTTTATTGTTGTTGATAGATTTGTGATGAAATCGCATCATTTTGAATAGTTTCATTCTTTTAGAAATATGGGTTTGGCAACAATTTTTCATCGTATTTCTTATGTGACTGTTTGTAAGAGATTAGCATATTTCATTGCCGTTTTTATATATAGCATATTTCATTGCCATTTTTATATATAATAAACATTTTATTGATTTTTTTATAAGGTCTGCAGAGTAAAATTATGCGTGAAATTTTATGTATTTGAGTTGCTTTCATGTTATTTTTTGCTTATTTCACTGTTTGTAAGATATTGAAAAGTTTTGCATGATTTTTTTTCTTCAAAGGAGTGTTGATTAAAATTTTTTATTAGGATAATTAATATTTGTATTAAGGGACATAGCTTATTTCATTGTAATTTTTTTCTCTTGAAAATATATGAGATAACATGTTATTAATTATACTTTGCTTTTCAGAATTATTCGTTTTTTGTATTCTTTTATGTTATTTATTGCTCATTTCACTGTTTTTAGAATATTGAAAAGTTTTGAGTGATATTTTTTAGGAAACAAAGTTCTTAACCTCATATATACCATTTGAGTTCTTAAGATTTTGCAAAGGGAAGTTGGTTAATTTATTTATTAAGATAATTAAAGGGCGTATTAAGGGATATAGCTTATTTCATTGTAATTTTGTTATAGGTAATAACTTTTTTTTATGAAGTTGTTCTGCAGAGTAAAATTCTACGCAGTTTTAAATTTAACATTTGGTGTTTCCTTCAGCCATTTTTCGGGTACATTTAAAAGCCAGACGAAGGCTGGCAGCGTAGCTGCTAGTATTATATATTTCAGTATAATTTACATTTTAAAGGTATATTTATTCTGAAAATCAATAAATAAGAGGGCCCACTAGTGGCCAAGCAATTTAAAGTTGCTGAACACTGGTAGTACAGTTCAGAATTCAAATTGGGGCGAATGGCCTGGCTTCATGGGCATTTTCATGGTTTTTGCCATGTGTACAAAAACCAGTTTTTTTTTAGAAAGCCTTCCACAAAGGCACCCCTTCCCTTAGGCAGAGAGCCCTGGAGTACTTTGCCGTAATTAAGTAATCCAAATCCAATCAAATAAGAGCAATTTTGTTTTAAATGAAAATTTTTTGGCTATCCTTTTAAGAATAGATTCAAAGCATTTGTACCCTTTAATAGTTTTGAAGCAAAATACTGTATTCCTGTAAAAATTTTATTGTGTTTTGATTCATTATAAGCAAATGCCACAAGCACATATTTTAAAATTTATTGGAAGATAAAAAATAATTCTAAAAAGCCATTGGAACAACAAAAAGAATACAAAAATGGTGATATTGCTTGTTAAAAACTGAAGAATTATCATGTGCATGGTTGCCAGATTTTGATGCATTCTGAAAATGTGACGACTTCTAATAAAGTATTGTGTTAATAATAAATACTTGTAAAATATAAATTTTAATTACTAAAAGTGTATATGATAAAAAAATGTAAATTTCATAATAAAAATATAAAACCTCTACCTTTTTTGAGAAATCCTTATGTAATTTTTTATGCTGTTGTTCTCCCCATATATGCAGTTTTTCATTAAAAAAAAAAAAACCAGAAATACTCAGCATTGCACCAACCACGATCACAGTCATGGAAGAACAGTTAAAACTTCAATGTACACTTCAACACAATGAAAATAAAAGAGGGACTCTGTTTTCACCATTTTAAAAATAACAAATAACGATAAAAAAACAGAGGGCACACAACTGAAAATGTTCTACAATCCTATTGATTTGGATTATCAAAAATATAGTAACTTTGCTAGAATAAAATCATTACTTAGCAACAAAAAACGTAAGGTTACAAAGAAAAGTAAGAAGTAGAAAGTAAGGTTAAAAATAACGCACACATAAAATATCTCACAACAAAATCGCTAAATTTGTCATTCACCCAATACTTTAATTGTGGTCTCAGCTGTTAGACAAAGAATGTATGAGTGCTGTTTTCTTTCAGCCATTTAATGACATCATAAATATAACTTTTATAAATACTATTTCTTGTTTATTTAGAAATTAACAGAAAATAGAGTGCAAGCATTTAATCACGAAATTGTCCCAGATTATTTACGAACCAAGCCGGATCCGGAGATTGAGGCTAGAGAACAGCAGTATATATTAAAATGTAATACAATGCCTATGGACATGGCTCAGGTAAACAATATCTTTATGATTTGTGAATTATGTTGTTTGAAATGTTAAAAACACTTGGTATTACGATTCTTCTTCTTCTTCTTCTTCTTTTTTTTTTTTTTTTTTAGAAACAAATAACAGCCATAAATAAGATTGTGAATAATATTTTGGATACTGTGAAAGCTAACAGAGATGCCTGGGAAAATGATTCAGGTATTTTAAAAGGAATACTATATATTTTGCTGTTAATCATCTTGATGTTCCTTAAACCTTTTCAGGGCAGATTTTTATTTCTCTCAGTATTGGGACATATTGTTCCATTAGTCTTGAAAGGTTAAATTGATTATCATATGCAAACTGTAGAGTTAACTTACTGTTTAGATCAACTTCTTTGCTTGATTTATTGTTTAAGAATAGATACAAATTTTTCTTTTTCTTTTGGTAAAAGTTTGAGATTCGATATTTCTACCAATCTGTTATCATTATTTAGTCTTTAGTCTATACCAGGGATTGCTAACCCTTTATCTTGCATTGAACCCTTTTAAAAGAATGGTGTCTTCATTGACCCCCATATGGTTTTCTCTATAATACAACATATAGAACATAATACATGTATATGTATACAAATAACTGCACATGAATAACTCTAAAATAATAATTGTACTAAGAATATAAACAAAAGTTTTAAAGAAATGGTTTAGTAGATTTATGTGTAATTATTTTATGCATTATCCTTGTTTTTAATTTTAAAAATTAAGCAAATATCACAGATTCTGATTGCACAATCTGATTTCTCAGTTTTAATTAATGAGATGTTCCCACTTGATGTATGAATATTTTTTAAAAAATATTTGATATAAATCTGTTTTATTTTTATATCACCTCATTCAAAAATATTCAACCTATTTCTTGTTCTTCATTTCAGTTTTGCATTCTTCATATTTAATTTTTTTTATATTGTATTTTCTCATGTTCTTGCATTTTACTTCTTTATATTGTACTTAATGTATAAAAATTTACATATTAAAAATATATATTTTTCTAAACATATTAAATTTAATGTTGATTTCTTCCTATTACATGATGCAGCTCTATATCAATAAATAATTAATTATAAATTTAATAATAATTTTTTAATCAGTCATATCTTATGTATGTCGATTAATTGCCAGTGCATGTCAAGCTGTTGACCCCTTGATTATGATTAACCTAATTTAAGATTTCATCAATCGCCCCAGAACGTCAGAGCCAACCACACTGGAAAACTCTGGTTCAGAAAAAAAAAATTAAAGGTAAATTTCCGAAAAATAACTGTGTAAGAAAGTTGTCTCAGAGTGTTAATTGTCCTGAATTTTCTTGGTGTATGATAATAGCTAGAGGCATTTCATTTCAATATATATTTAGTATAGTACCTCATATCTCCCTCACAAACTCCTAAAGTACAAAAATGGAAGTACATTCTATAGCATAGTATTGGAATTTAAATTCATATTAACCGTCAGATGGTCATGAATGACAAATTTATGAGTGACAGATATTGTGCATGTTTAGAAAAAAAGAATTACTTCATCACACTAACTCAAAGTTAACGCTTTGATGGCTGGGGGGGGGCGTCTGCTGCTGCACAGATTGAGATACTGGTGTATCAGTATTATTATTATCAATAATCATATTTTCATTTAACATGCTAAATTAATTGGTGGTTTCAATATTTTTGCTAACTTTTTCTAATTTTTGTTGTTTTACTGTTTTAGTAGCCAACTGAAAGCCATCATTATCAATATTTTTGGTATTAACATTTAATTTACATTTACTACTACTTTCTTTACTTTGCTTTTTTGATTTAAGGTGGGGGTTAGTGTCTGACAAACTAGGAAAGTTGCACTTACCTCTTAATTCCTTTGCTTCAGCTCTTAGCTTCTGAAGGATCTTCATCATCAGAGTGGTGACCGTGTCCTCTTCCGTAACAAGACAGTTTTTGGTAGTTCATGTTAGAAGCTCACATGCACTCGATCTCGTTCTCCAATTCTTTAAGTCTTTGTCGTCTAATATCTATTTCAGGGTCCGAATTTTCATTTTCTGTCAGTAATCCAGAGTTAGTATGACATAAACCAACACAGCTTTTGCGAGGATATGGCAACCTAGGACATCATTAAAATGTATTATTGCATGCATACAGGTTTGTAATTTATTGAATGCACACAGATCCATTGATAGGTTCATAAACATAATTTTATCAAAGGAAACTTTTCACAGTTCTGGAACTTTCCACAAAACTAGTTGTACATACAGTATCACAGAGCACAAGCTGTAGTTACACTACAGTAATGTCATCCCCTTTTTGTTGTCTTGCTTCATAGAGAAATGAATCCACCTTCTTTGTATGTTAAGCATTTATTGCACACACAAAACTACACACTATATCAATAAACTACGTTACTAACAATTAGAATATTTACATTAAGTAATGTTAATTTTGTGTTTGTAATTAATTTCATTTTGATTAACGCTCCCATGAGCCTTCCTTTTATCTATGACCTCTCTGTAGGTCTCCTTCCTGGAAACTAAACATTTCATGCCTCTCGGATCGAGAGTTAGCACCCTCTATACATCTTGCTGGTTGGCGTCACTCGTACATTATACCCCCATCCAAGATTGAAATAGGGTGAAAGCCTATTGAAATACACTCATGTCCATAAATTAAGGATAATTCGGAGTCACTAGGAAATCAAACTCTAAAAGAAATATATCACCTGTAAAATCACTACATACATCTTCAAGAATCATATGCAAATTTCAGCAAGTAACCAGATGACACCGATGGTACGTCACAATAAGGAGAGTGTAAGAGAGTGATATATAAGGAATACAGGCAAAGACGTAAAATTGTTCGCAGGTGCTTTATAAGCATTTCAGTGCAATAACCCAATAGTTATGACACAAAGGATGCATTTGGATGATTTTTTACATGGTAGAATTATCGGCCGTCTGGAATGTGGGCGTACCCAACTGGAAGTATCAGACGAACTTGGAATTGCCCAGAGTGTCTTCTCCAGTCTTTGGCAGCTATTCCAAGATGATGGTAATGTGAGTTGACTTTACAGCACAGGTCACCGCAGAGTTACAATGCCGAATGAGGACCGGTATTTGGCAGTTACTGCCAAAAGGAACAGGCTGAGCACAGCCTCAGACCTGTTCGTCAGCTCTCTTCAGCCACTGGTACAACAATTTCAAGGCAGACCGTGTACAGACGCTTAGGGCAGATTGGTCTATATGCTCGTAGACCTGTCAGATGTGTTCCACTTACTGCAACTCACTGTCGCCTGCGGTTACCCTGGAGTAGAGAGCATGCATTGTGGACACCGCAACAGTGGGCTTGTGTGATGTTTTCCGACGAGTCCAGGTTTAGCTTCCAGTCTTGATTCTCGCCGGACTTTCATATGGAGAGCTCCAGGTACCCGTTACCACCAAGGAAACATCATTGAACGACACCGTTACGGTGAAGCAGGAATGCTCGTTTGAGGTGGAATTAATCTGGGTTTCAGAACTGACCTGTATGTTCAAATTGGATGTTCATGAAAAGCCAAATCTATTGGGACGTCATTCTGGAACAACATGTACGTTTGTTTCGGGGCGCCATGGGCGCACAATTTGTGTTTATGGATGCCAACGCCCATCTTCACCTTGCAATAGGAGGATTTCACCCGTATGGACTGGCCAGCATTGTCACCGGACTTGAATCCAGTAGAGCACGTGTGGGACATGCTTGGCCGACGAGTTGCAGCCCGTCAACCTCCTCCTATATGTTTACCGGAACTTTGGAGAGCATTGCTTTTTGAGTGGTGTAATATCCCCCAAGATCAGATCGATAATTTGATACTCAGCATGCCTAGGCATTGTACGGACTGCATTGCATCGTCTGGGAGACATACAGTGTATTAACAATCATACCAACCATGTAATATTGTTTTTTTGTAAATAGGTTTTTTGTAATTTGCTCCAGGGAGAAAAAATCGCTAATTTTTTTAATAATATCAAACATATAGCATCTTTTTTTGCTCTTTACCTTTTGTTTAATAAATAAGCTTTACAAATAAGTCAAATTTGTTTTGCTTTTGCTTTGTAACTCTTCTTTTGCTTGATTTTGCATTATCCTTAATTTATGGACATGAGTGTGTAACAAAATATGGTGATGTCAAACAAAAGAGTTGCTTTTCTACTAAAGTTAACAAATTAATGAAAGTTGAAATGTACATAATGCAATACTTATACAGATTACTTCTACATCTACTAAAGATTACTTTTAAAGCTGTGACATACAAATCATTAACAATAAGTAATCAAACAATTTTAAATGCAATAGAATAATACATAAAGCTTCTGTAAGAGTAACTGCAAAAGAAAACACACACACACACACACACAATAATAATAATAATAATAATAATAATAATAATAATAATAATAATTTTAAGAGTTCATAAATGTATGAAAAGTTCTTTCTTTTACACAAGTCATTCACTAGTCTCCAGTCTGGACAACACATCAGCATTGTTCAAGTGAGCACATGGGCAGTACAAAATTATAGTATCATACTTTTGCAATGCTAAAGCCCATCTTCGTAACTTAGAAGATTGCGATGCATTCTTTGTAATGAAAGTTAATGGGTTGTGATGAGTTACCAGTTCCATAGGTAATCCAAAAATCCAAGTTTCAAACTTTTTCAAGCTCCAAATAAATAAATTTCAAGCTTCCTTCTCGGTAGTTGGCCATCCTTGTTGTGTTTTGGTTAGTTTCTGTCTGGCGTTACAAATCGGATACAGCTTTTCATTAAAAGGTAATCCTGGAATAGGGGTATAAAGACTGGGTGCTTCCACTAGGCATTTCTTTAATTTCTCAAATGCTTTGTCATGTTTTCCTGTCCAGCAAAGCTCTTCAGGACTTTTTCTTTTGGTGAGCTCGGTTAACGGGTAAGCTCTTTTGGTGTAATGTGGAATGTAATCTCTGTAATAATTACATAAGCCTAGAATACTTTTCATTAACTTCTTTGTTTGAGGTTTGGCTAATTTCTGGATAGCCTGCACTTTCTCTGGATCAGTACAATGACTGCCGGAACCTATGGTATGTCCTAGATACTTAATATGAGTTTTAGCAAAGGAACATTTCTTGAGATTTACTCAAAACTTTAGTTCTAATGATTTTTAAAAAAATGG